GAAGTCCAGTTTGTGATTGACAGCTGTCGCTTCGTTAGCCAATCAAATTATTTGAACAATTCCAACAAGGCTTATGATTGGCTTATTTTTGCGTGCTTTATCAGAGGACAGAGCACGGCTGACACCACTTTTACTCGTTTGGAAAATAAAGTTTTGTTTGAAAATTCAGCCGAATGCGCGGGGAAATTATACAAATAAAGAAGCCTCGACTGTGCTCTGTTCTGTTGTAAAGCACTTAGGAAGCGGTAGAGCACTTCGTCTCGTGTTTGGGGTGGGGCGCGATTTTAAGAACGGGGACACTTTTTGCTAGCGATACCTTAGGTTTTGCCTAAAAGGCCTAATTATAAAATTCATCCGATTAAAGAAAAGCAAATATTACAATAAATGTATGTACAAAGAGGAAACGAAGGAAATTATTACGACATCGTTCAAAAGGCGAGACTGTAAAAAATCTAATACTAGGAGTTTCAATGTGAAAGTGGGTGCTGGCGTCAGAGCTTGAAGGAAATACTGATAATACGATTTGAAATAAACGGTCTGATAGAGGTTGGTGTAGCTTTTTAAAAGAGAATTACGATTTTTCCAACTCTGAGTTTAGTTTTAAAGTGCTCTTGTGAGACAACAACAGAGCTGAGTTAAGAAAAGAACGTAACAAATGCCAGAACTTGGTTTAAGAGACCCATGAAACCTTTAGTAGATGTATTTCCACAAGTATTCTTTTTAAAAATTAGCCTTTATGCTTAAACATTACCAGTAAAAGTGAAAATGAGACGTTTTAATAGCATGAATTTGTGAGTTTACCGNTTTGTTCTGTTGTAAAGCACTTAGGAAGCGGTAGAGCACTTCGTCTCGTATTTTCCCCTACACTTTCACTTCACATTCAAGGAAATACTGATAATACGATTTGAAATAAACGGTCTAATAGGGGTTGGTGTAGCTTTTTAAAAGAGAATTACGATTTTTCCAACTCTGAGTTTAGTTTTAAAGTGCTTTTGTGAGACAACAACAGAGCCCCAAAATTTTTTTGTTGAGTTAAGAAAAGAACGTAACAAATGCCAGAACTTGGTTTAAGAGACCCAAGAAACCTTTAGTAGATGTATTTCCACGAGTATTCTTTTTAAAAATTAGCCTTTGTGCTTAAACATTAACAGTAAAAGTGAAAATGAGACGTTTTAATAGCATGAATTTGCGAGTTTACCGAAACTGGAGCCGTCACGCAACGTGTCATCAAAGGTCATATCAAATCGCATTAAAGCAAGGAAATCAAAATCTACAGATCAATATGATTGCAAGCTTTTCTTTCGCCTCAACGGGCACATGTACCTCAATGGTCGAATTATTTAGCTCAACGGGCAGAGATTTTGACTCGACGATCAAATTTAACGCCTCAACGAGCGAAGAATACTGTGAATGATTTGCCTGTGGTACCGAAGTCGCTTTCCGACATAAAGCAGGTTGGCTTCACACCTTCATCTCTTTTCTCCCAAGACTAGCAAGCTGCAGTCGGCAGTTTACTCCGAATGGAAGCATTTTTGCCAAACACTTCACTGCTGCTGAATGCACTGAGAAAAAAATGATCTCCAAGAAGTAGGACTTGATCGATATCTTGGCACCTCCATTCGCGAATCGGCAAAAATTGCTCACATAATAGAGCAGCCAAACACATAAAAATCTCTTGTCTACCTCGAGAGTCATCACTAAACCGTTCGTAAACATGATGAATACTTCCACAAGCAGTTAAAGACATTCGTTTATAGTGTCCTTGATTTCTAGCAGAGCGGGACGCCTGTACAAATCGATCGATATTTCCACGTGCATTTACAAGCTCCCCGGATATCAGAATGCCAGGATATAAAAAACGCAATCCACTGCGCATGTCTCCGATCTTACATCCGACAAATTTTGGCTTTTTCTCGCTATTGAAAAGAATAGGCGGCTGCCTCGTTAGGGCTCGCCAGCAGCAAACAATTCACTCAAAATCTACAAAAATGTAGCTTGACTGACACTCGTTTTTCGACGACCAAGCTGTCACGGTTAAAAAAAGGCTCCACCTTAGGATTGAAACTAACCAATCAAAAAACGACAAGGCTTTTGGGGGGTCCGCAGCATTTCGTTGCTTTTTTTTTTCTCTCTGTTGTAGAACTATCGTTTGTGTTGTTCAACACAATTAGTTCGTTTATGAAACAGATGGCCATCCTTTGCTTTCAATTAAAGTGATTGGTAAATTTTGTTCCCAGTGGTCTGGTTCAAGTATTTGTACTATATTTTCTAACAATTTATGCTAATGATAAATAAAACCCCGAGGGGAGGACAGGGGTGCTCGTCAAAAATTTTGAAAAGAACCCCCATGAGGTATCAAGATTCTGTTTTGTGGGCGTGGCTTGAAACTTTTTTCACCCCTAAGAGGTACCAACTCTAAAACAACCCATGGACTGACACTTTCATCATTTTTAAGGGCATTAAAGACGATTGCTTCAAATTACTCCTACGTGCCTAAAGTTGATTATCTCCTGTCATATTTTTTTTCGGCTCAGTACCGTAACAAGTACCGCGAAAGCTCCCGCTGTGGACGTTTCGGGGCTGAACACCATTAGAGGTACCAAAACCGCTCTTTAGCCCCTAATACGTACGACGAGCACCACAAACCTGTTTATACGGGAGTTCCCCCTCGGGATGAAACATACTGCAATTTAAATAATCCTCATAGTTTACCTTGTGGTCGTGTTCCAAGAGATAAAAGTGTTTTCCATGTCTGGAGACATCAAATGTACCATTTTCAATGTCCATCTTGTGTCCTGAAATTATAATCCTACGGTTAAGTGACGTACATGTATGGCAAACCAGGATACTGAATGATCAGTACAGTCCTCCGCAGGAAAAAGATGGCGGCTGTACATTCTACCACGATACCATGCGAGCCTTTTTACACAGCCCTTGAAGTACAAGGAAAGCCATATTTTTGCAACATTTGTCCCTGTGCTAAGGACATTGTGTATGTTAGGTTGTAAGGTTTTCGAACTTTCTTATACGTTTCTATGAGCCTTGTTAAAGTTTTCGCGCGCTAAGAATTATGGGTAAATGCACCAGCCGCCATCTTTTTTCCTACGGAGGGTGCCAGCTAGGCACAGGTACTTAAGGTTATTCCCCAGTATTGCANTAAACACCAGACCATCTGGCGGAGAAAACCCTTCCTTGCTTGTGCTGCGTACCTGGAAATGCTTGCACTTTTCTTTCTCGACTATTTTCAATGCTTTTTGATTCATCCTGTTCTGCTGGTTCTTCCTAAGCTGTAGCGACAAGGAGAGAAAAACATTTATTCACGATTTCCATAGTAGATAAATTATCTCTGATTACTTTGGTCTGGCATTTAAGTGTGAGATGGTACAGTAAGCTAAAGGTTTAAAAAAATTAAAAAGACTTGTAAGAAAAAACGCGGCTGGAAGGCAAGCTTTGCCATCCAGCATACAAACTGAATTTTCAAGCCATCAAACTGTCCTTAAATCTCCCGCTAAAACGACAGTGGCCTCAAAATTGGAAATCTTACTAATCACGTTCTTTCCATTTCTGGCATCTGTTTCGTACCACAACCATTTGATTAATCGACAAGGTCACGTGACATGGTCAGGCAAAGCGACTATTGGTTACGTCATCCATCTTCACTTGACAACACAATGTTTGGTCTTGATAATTCTGGTTGTCATGCTATGCCTTGCTGCATGCAATAATTGTTTCGTGTTACCCTTTGTCCTTGAATTTCCCAGCTCCCTGAAGAAATCGGAGGTGAAATAGTCAGTGCTCTGGTTTTTAGCATTAATCGTCCTAAAAAAATCAGAAAGAAAATAAAGTCACTTCATATCAAAACACAATCAGGCGGTGTTGGCGACATGAACTGAATTAGCCCCGGCCTGAGATTTGAAAGGAATGAATTCCACAAGAGTCCGAGAAATTCAAGATTTTCTTTTTTCATGATATTTGAACTCAGGACAACTTGTGAGGATGCTCCTCTCTGAGCGAGGTAAGAACATCCACCTTACTCTGTAGAATGGTCCCTGAAATCCATGATCACTTGTACTACATGACTGATATATTCAGAGTGCTTCGTACAGTAGTGCGGCAGCTCTCGTAAGCTTCTAATTCTTTTGCTTGTTAGCAGCTGTTATTGTTTTAGGGCTAGAGGCATTTTTTCTGTTGTTTATTTTATTGTCCTCTCAAAGGGTAGCAAGTCATAAATGTGAGACCTTCCGAGAGCTGCTACCCAACTCGCTACATGTATATAAGTCGCTTCATTATTAACCGCGCGCGTCTGTCTCGAATCAATGGAAACGTTAACCTCCCGGGATGAGCTATCACTCAACACAGAGGGGTACCCATCCACAATTGCCGAAATTTGGCCCGTTTACCCATTGATTCTTTGGTGACTTTGGTGAGGAAACTCCACCCAGAACAAAACACACACAAATGAAAAGTTCACATGAAAGTGGCATACCTTGAAACGAATGTTTTAATGGTTCTTCTTCTGGACTGAAGGGAAGTGCTGAGAATAAAGAAGAAACGGGAAAGCAAAATCAGTAAAGAAGGAACCAGTTTAATCTTTCACCAGCTATGACCGTCTGTATCTATTTCATCTTTATTATAATGTGACTGTGGAAAAGCAAATGTAGAGGTTTCATTCCTTAAAATAAATTTACCAGTAACTAGAAGGTAGCACTTACATGTTCCCTTCTCATTGACCAGAAACAGACCAAAGTTACTGAAACCAAGAGACGAAAGCTTGTCAGCAAATATGGGAAGATATGGAACCTGTGAAGCGTTTAAGAAAGACTGTCAGTTTTCAATTAAATTAAATGATAACAACGGCCGCGCCACTTGTACATAGTAAACATCACATTATGATAACTAAAACAGCTCTTCTAGGGACATGTAATAACTGACTATCATCGCAGTTAGTGGTAGTCAAACATATCCTACAAGCGGTTAGATCAAACGTGTGTTTTCATTATGTTTTGCTGATTTGTTTGTTTGTTTGTTGGTTTTGTTTTAAATTCTTAAGGTGTTGCATCTTCGTTGATTACCGATACGGCCTCCAGTCTCCAAGCACGAGAAAAATGAGAAATCAGAAATACTAATTTAATTAATTATTAGAATAATATAGAAGGCATTTCAACACNTTATTAACAGTAAATTCAAATGATCATTAAACTTTTCTTTGGAAATATAAAGTGGAAATTTTTGTTTATTTTCATATCCAAAGACATTAATGTTGACATTATTTTGTTTTTCAATTTTATTATAATAATTGACTTTAACTGGAAATTCAACATTAGAATAATCTAAATGTTTAATAAATTCTCTTTCAAATTTCTTTATTCTATCTGGATGAACATCTTGTGGATTTAAGGTCATTCCCCAGTATTGCGTTGCGCATCCCTACTGCGCATAATTCAACGCGTGATTAGCGCGCGCGCATATAAAAACGGCGGCTTTTTCTTTACGGCTGGTCCTCGCCATAAGGTAAATCGTCATTTTCTCGCAAACGAGTATGGTGACCCATTATTTTTTTCGGTTGTTTTGAATTGAGTATTAAATTTGTCTGTGTAAAATAAATATGGACCGATTCTCAGTGTAGAACAAAAAACAATCGTTGGAAACGTGAATTTGGCAAGCAATCGTGACTGCAATCATGGTACTATTATAAGGATTTATTGGGTATAAACAAGGTGCTGTTGCTCCTAGACGAACAAGGGGACCCCTCATTTTTATTTCAAAATTTAAGTTCCTATAATATAAACAATCAATAGGCAAAGTTTCACAAAAATCTCAGTGCAGACTCTGTTTCAGTGGAATGACCTTAAATGTCTGATATGACACCATCTGAAACATTCATTATCTTTATCTTGTAAGTTTAGAAGGCCTTTCATGTGATGTCTTAATTCTTTTGGAAGTTGGATATATGATTTTCCCTTCATTGGCTTCTATTTAACAATATTCAAATAATGATCATTAATTTTATCGATTATCCAGCCAGATAACCACTGACCAATCTTTTTTAGAATCTGTTCTTGAGCAATTTTCAATTATTTATTTGAGCAGAAGCATATCACCTCGAAGCGTCTAAATTCTCCTTATATGTTCGGAACAGTGCTGAGGTTTTTTAGCCGACCAATCAGAACCACGGAATTTTCTTTGCCCAAATATGGAATCAGCAGATTGAGGTACGTTTGTTTACATAATGGCGGCTTTTTGCAGAGAGGCTGTTTTCAAAACCACTTAAGAACGAAAATTCAAGCCATAAACCCTCTCGAGAAAGCGCTGTCGGAAGTTGATATTGTCAACAGGGTCTGCAGAAAGGATCAGGGAGCTTTTTTGATTACTTTGAGTCAAACGTTGTAGATGCTTGAATCGAGTGTGTTGTTTCGTGCCTTTCGTGGACTCGTAAAACACTACAATGACACCTTCATTGATTTATTTTCCGAGAAAGGGAAAGGTAAATCATATGATAAATCTGTTGTACTTCACGTAAAATGGTAGTAGTTTGTTCGTCAGGTGTTAGCCAGCCAGGATGAGTGTGAAATCGTGAAAGAGATGCCGTTGCAGGGTAAGGATGTTGTATGTTTAGAGAGTTTGACGANTCAAAATTTAAGTTCCTATAATATAAACAATCAATAGGCAAAGTTTCACAAAAATCTCAGTGCAGGTTCTGTTTCAGTGGAATGACCTTAAACGTGATACAGATTAATGGAGATCTCCTCAATTTTATAAGATCAGCTAAATATTAAATGAAAGATCAAAAATTGCTCTAAGAACAACTGGACAAGCAGTCGAATTTACAAGAGCAAAGCATCACTCATTTTCTTCTGATTGTGCAGAATCGTAGGCAAGTAATGCGTACAAAAACCAAGATACCGAGTGGCACAAAATTATTTCGGGAGCTTAATTTTGCAGTTATTTTGCGGGAACTAATTTTTGCGATTGTAAGACTGGTTTTTCTTGTTGAGTATTATATAAATATATCGCGTTTAATTGGAATTAAAGCATTATCCTTTTTTTTTTTTATTAAACTACATGTAATCAACGAGTGAACAAGGTTCGTACTGTTTTGGGCTTTTGAAACTCCATGACTTTCAATGGCCTTTTCCATGATATTTCCGAGATTTCCATGAGCTATGTTAAGCAGTTGTTCTCAAAGTATTGTAAAAACAATCTATTATTTAAGGTATTTTCCCACATTATGACGCATAAAATGCGTGCTAGAGTTTATTTTTTTTAACTGGAATTGACTGGTTTTAAGACTTGTCTGTTGTTTTTTCAACTTTGATTTTGTTTGCCTGTTCAGTCTCAGAAAGTTTGTTACTTTTCCATGACTTTCCATGACCCATACTTCAATTTCAGGACTTTCCAGGCCTGGAAACTGATGAAATTATAAAATTCCATGACTTTCCAGGTTTTCCACGACCCGTACGAATCCTGGTGAAACAACATGCAGAGACGTAAAACATGGTAATCAGTGTCACTCTCTTACAATCAAATCTTGCCCTAGTGTGACTTACTGCTCTTACAATGGATCGGCAATAACTACGGCACCACTTGATGCATTATCACACCTGTAGAGTACCGAGCGCAATTTCATCGTCTTATTTCAAAACGTTTTGCTTCTGAATAAAAGAAACGTTTTAAATTGATGGATGGCAACAACTACAGTCACCTCTCGCCTTACGAACATCCCGCTTATACGGACCGTAGCTAAATCCCCGGCTGCTGGTCCCATAGTGATATTTCTTTTGTTCTTCTCTCGTTACCACGGGCAACTTGGACGTACTGAATGACTTCATTATTCTGTAGCCTTGGAATATTTACTAGTTTGAGGACTATTTTGACCCATATTAGATTATTATGTGTCAAAGTAAATCCTTCAGTTTTTCTGTTTCTTATGCTAATTAGGGAAATTGTTATTTAAACCCCATTGGGACTTCAAAATTTGAATAATAGAGAAAAAACGAAAGAAATTCTGGTAGTTGATGTCAAATGACGACAACGTGCAAATCTGCTATTGACTGTCGATTCTACATGTGATTTCTGTAAGTATAATTTCGCCAAGGGAATAAATTTATTGGGAAAATTTTTGGGAAGGCAACTTTTTTTGGCGGATCTAAGAGAAAACCACAAAAATCGCAAATTAAAATAAGACCCCTCCAAAATTTCGTGCCACACGGTAGTTACACAGTACATTATGTGCCCTGCGACAGGCTGCCAAAAGAAAGAGTCTAATGCAGCAATGAGGGAAATAGTATAATAAAACCTTCTGTCATCTTAGGGGTAGGTTATGGAAGCAATTTCAGAATTTGGGAAACATCTATGTCTTCCTAGAAAAACCAATACTCTAAAAATAAATTTAAGAAAATCACCAATTCCATTGGCAGTTACTATCCAGACTTCCATGGAGGACTTTTGAAGTCTACAGATAGGACAACCAGCACACCGTTTACTTTGTAACTTTGTAGAAAGCGCAGTGAGAAGCTCTTCCATGTCAAAAACAGACGGAAGGAGAACCTTGAGAGTTATTTGATTCCACGTGGTGACAGATACTTGAACTGGTTCACTATAAAAAGCAGAAGGTATAATAGCTATTGACAATGAATGCGATTGAATGATGGATTAGTCAACTGCAGCATTAACTTGTAAAAAGTACTTTGATTCTGACTTCATAGCCTTAAGAAGACCCCTTGTGACATTCTCATTATAAATGTCATGTAAACAATGCTAGTGGTGCTATTAATACTTGTCATTAATACCAACAACAAGCAGTACAATTGTTATTAACAACTTTCAATAATTAAATGATATGAAAAAAAAAATTAGTTTAAGCCCTACCAGTTTTCAGTGAAGCTGCTTGAAGTACTGTCATCCTAGATAATAATAATAATAATAATGATGATAATGATAATGATAATGATAATAATTATAACATTCATAATGCGCAAATTTCATAAAATGTTCAAATGCGCACGACAAGATTAAAAACGGAATAAAAAGGCTAAAAAGCTAAAATTACAATTAAAAGTAAACTTACAATAACAATATCAGACCATAAAAAAATCAAATAATATATTTTACACTCTTCTGTTATACACCAGCTAAGAGTAACCACTGACTGGGTAACTCCCACTGAACAATGCAAGAGGTGGCTGTCTGAAAATTTGAAAGGGAGCTCTTAAGGATACTGGAACCTTTAAATTTTGGACACGGCTCAAATCCACCATTTCACTTCCAAAAGACATCATAATTCTAAAGCATAAATTGATTTGTTAAAAATTTTAATAGAGATTGAGATGATAACCATGGATATATTTTTTTCTTGACTGATAAGTAATTGTCACATTCTCAGCTTATCATAATAACTTATCCTAAAATGAACCATCTAGGATAACTAGATGACAGCAGTTATTCCCTATAAAATTTGTCATGAACACCGTCTCTCCTAGCAAGATGAGCCCAAAGAAAGTCTGCAAAGGAGGCTATGGGTCCATTCCTTTGGGGTGATCTGGATCTGGATCAGTGATCCAAGATCAATCAGATTATGGTACATCAAAGGAACTGACGAATCCATGACCAGAGTGGATTCATTGGCTCCTTTGATGCACCATGATCTTGGATCACTGATCCTGATCCAGATCACCCCAAAGGAATGCACCCTATGTGCCCCCACCAAGGGATTAAAAAAAAAATTAACTCTATGAATACTTACTAAATTGTCTGCTTCATTATGCACGGTCATAGGCTCAACTATGTGAGTCCCAGTACTTCTCTTTTGTGTGAATTCTAGCCTCTTATGATGCTGTATCCAGAATTCCTTTGCATCTCTTAAGCCATTCACCCACTTTTCCATTGCTTGCCTGGACTGTTGAATTAACATTATGCACAAAGAAAGTATAACCAGTATGAAAGTTGAAATGCCAGTTGACCAGTAGTGTCTGAGCTAATTGAGTGATTAATTCAGTTGGAAGGTACAGCCAGTTATCACTTGAGTGTTAAAAAAATAATTGGCTTTGCATTGTTAGTCACTACACAATTGGCAGCAAAAACTTGCAGCACTTTTTCATCTTGCCAGAAGTAAAACTAAAACCAATTTCCTGTTCTTCATGTCAGCTACATGTATTTTCTTTTGTTTTGAGTTTTGATTAATCCAATGAATTGTCTGTGTCCTTTGTGATTGCCTGGAGTGATTAATTGGTTTTAGTTTTACAAACATGAAAACCACTATTTGGCAGTGCTGTGACTAATGTAATGAATTCTAATAAAAAGCACAAAAATGTAGAGTCTGCAGTCAGGCCATACAGTGTAGTATTTTACTTGGATAAAAAAACTATAATTCTGGTTTCTGCAGCATAAAGCAACTAGAAGTATAGTATTGCTACTGTCAGGATGCTAGTCCAATGCAGGCTATCCTCAGTATTTTATCAGGTAACCATAATACTTTGGGAGGTGCTCTGGCCAAATAATTAGTGCATTGGACTTCAGATTGAGCGGTCTATGTTTGAACCCTGGCCAAGTGCCTTGCATTATGTTCTAGGGCACCACACTTTGCTCTCAGAGTGCGTCTCTTCACCCAGGTGTATAAATAGGTGAATTTCATGCTGGGAGGTAACCCTGTAATTGGTGTTTTCTACTCATGAGGGCGTAGAAACACTTTTATTCACTTAATGCTACAGAAACTGGGATAAGCCCCAACAGTTTGGAATACTTGGCTCAATGCAGACTTTACCTTACGATGACATTTTGCTAGTACACATAATTTTATTCTCTTAGAGAGGGAGAGACACAGTGAAAGTAAAGTGTCTGGCAAGAGAATGCAACTATCAATTCTGGCCAGTGGTGGAATGAGGATTGATGGAGCACTCAATCTGAAGTATAATGCAGTTGATAATTAGCTATCCAGCCGGAGCAAATATCCAGAGATGCAGATGAAAGTAAACTAAGCAGGTTCTTTAACATGTTCAACCAGCTTTCTCGCAGGCATCTCCAAAATCACCCTTATGTAGACCTCTGTTTTCTGGTAAAATTTGAGCCTGGGATAAGTTCTTTTTCAGTGTGTGAGAATAGCCAATAGCCGGTACACATAGATCCCTGGCCGCCACACCTTCAAAAATACAAGCATATATGTACCTCAGCAGAAAACTTGTACTCCGTAGCCTCTTTGTCATTTAGTGTCAGCTTGAAGCTGCAGTTCTTGTATTGTTTATTGGACATCAACATTTCTGTAATACCACATACCTGGAACAAATTGACCACATTTTTAGAAAACTGCATGAGCTTCCTGGCAGCACAGGGGATCAGCCATATACAAGTACTCAAAAAGTACCAAGTGATGCTGTCTAGAAATGTTTTCACAAAACCGTAAAGGTACCAAATATTCTTTCTTGGGCATTGCAAAGTCATTACCCCTCTAAGAAGTACCAATTGTTTAAAACAAACACATTTAAGTTGTCATTATTTTCACAATTATTAATAGCAATAAAGATGATCTCCATTAATACCATTTTATCTCCCATCACAGAACACATACAACTGTAATAAATTCAAATGCACCTCTTCCAGATTGATTTTAAAATTTTCTTTTGATCTTTGTCCTTTGTGATAACAGTCCTTGCTTTCATATTGAAGTATCACTGTTTCTAACAGCTGCCAATAAAAGGAGATTCAGTTAACAAGTTATCATCAAACAAAATATGTGTCTCAGCAGTTTCCGTAGTTATGAAGAACTGAGTCAGTACAGAAAGCTTATTAAACAATGGTAGTTACATGTGTTATAAGGAGCCCAATGGATCAATTAATGCTTCTGCTTTAAAGATGATTTCCAGTCTGTACTGCACAGTCTCAGCACCCTAATGTTTATAAATAACAGAAGTCTCACTCCATGGAATGCGAATTGATGTTATTTGTTACGAACCACATACCTTATCTTTGAGGCCTTTCAAATTCTTTTTCCAACAGCTTCATTGATTTTCACAGTTGCGAAGTTGTTTCATCAGGTGACATGAGAAGGATTGAAGCGTAACTTAGATTTGCATCCATAGTGGCGGTTGACTTGAAACTTTGAATTTACTATCATGTAAGTAGTTGCAAAATGTTTACATTTTCTGGTGTCTTACATGAAACACACCAAAAAACGTAAACAAACTCTTGAGAGTGTGCAGTACAGACTGGAGATCATCTTTATAACCAGTTTATTTATGATTCTTTTAAATTTACTCTTTTTACTAATGGTGTAACTCCCTGCTTCTAAATTAATGTATGCACAAAATTTACTGAAAATCCGGATAATAATAATTTATTAAGTATTCCCCATCCCCAAATAAGCCCTCCCAGTCTCATTTTTGTGTGAAACATTCTTATGTGCCCAAGGATCTTTACAAGAATTTTACCACCTTAAAAATAGTGCAAGAACAGGTTTGACTGTCTCACTTATAAAATGTTTTTCATTAATGAACTGAGACCAAGTGTTAATGTACAGTCAGACTCAATTCGTGCGAAAGTTTTAAATCATTTTTAAGCAATGACATATTGTGTGACGTCATCGCTTTAAGCCAATGTGCTACATTCCTTTGGAAAGTGATTACTCACTTATTTTGTTGCACTTATGTCCGTCGCGCTTATGTCGCGCACTATTTATCCCTCTGTTGAAGCAAAATGCACTCTGGGAGTTAGTAAATGAGACAAGGTTCAGGGGAGTCCTTTTAATTCTAGCTTTTAAAAGAAGATTTAGGGGTGGATTTTGGTTTATACAGTATTGAATAAGTCTGCATTCATGGGCAGACTCATAATAAGAACATATCCTCCATACATACAAGTTTAGATAGACAAGTAAGTTGCCCAGGCGGTAGGTGAAGGCTTTGTGGCTTTCCTTTGCTGTTTGTAGGTTCAGTGGAGTGCTTTTAATCGATATGACAAGTACACAGTTAAAACAACAAATTAACTTCCGGTGAGGTAATTACTGTTGCCAAATATTTTTAAGGATAATAAGGTGTCGATTTCAGAGAGAGTAACTTTTCCTTTGCAGCTTTTCTTTGCTGTTTGTAGGATCAGCAGAGTGCTTNGTTCCAGTCTTCTAGGAACATGCATTGTGTGCCGTTTATTAATTATGTTATTCTTGCATGCATTTTATTGCTCTTAACACCTTTTTTTACATTTTCATACTTTACATACTTTTACTTCTTTCTTTTATATTAATTTATACTTATGCAAAAATTTTTATCTTCACTTTTAAACTTGATATGATTTAAGTTCGGTCGAAACGTCGCGCGCTATTACCGTTAGTTGTTACATGTACTTCAAATAATATTTAGATTCCTTCAAAAGGTCTTTTGTTCGAACAAATGCTTCGTGTTATAATTCATCCGACTGTCAGGTGTACTTACGTGCATGTCAGATTACAATTTAGTTTCATTTTCCATGCCAGTGAACTGAGTTTTCCGCATAAAACTTTGGGTTATATTGCAGCTTAGTTAATTGAATTTTCACGTGATTAGGAGTTTGGTAGTTTATTTGGTTAACCACTTCACTTTCATAACAAACATATTCCGTTTTGGTTTAAGCTTGTGCACTTACCACAAAGAAAGCTCGTTTTGGTCTTCCAAACGTAGTTGGTCTGTGATAAATCAAATTTCCTTCTAGATGAGGAGGTAGACGAGTCTAATAATAGCACATAAAGAGACGAACATAAGATAAGGAAGCACCAGGGTTAGACATCAAAGAAAACAAGACAAATATTACCACTTGAAGTCCCTGTACTTCCGTTCCAGAAGCCATGTTTCGGAAAATCTATAGCCTCACTGTGATGACGAAAATTTATGTAGATGAGGGAGGGGAGGGAGGGGAGGGAGGGGAGGGAGAAGAGAAGCTGAAATCTAGTACAGCAGAAAATCTAGTACCAATCCCACCTCGATCAATCCTGCTTCAAGATGGCGGCTGCTACAATGGCTTGTTCCAGAATGTGTTTTTCGAGTTCTTTTGGAGCAAGATTTGCTCTTTCGAGCATCAGAGTTAATCAAGGTATCATATAAGTATTTCTTTTGCTATTTTTTAAATGTTGTCCAAGTCTCCGATCGGTCGTTCAAAACGTGACAGTCAAACGAATCGTTAAGCTTATTTTTCATTGATTTTTCTTTTAAAGAACTTGGGTTATTTGTCCTCCTGATTCTTAATATTTGCTATGGAAATTTTAGTTTTGTTAGCCTAGAATCTCAACAGGATGTAAACCGGACGAGTTGGTTCGATTCAGCTTCTTTAACATGTTCAGCTACTTTTCACTTCACTACTAAAGTAGTAAGCTTAACTACAGTGAAGCTTACATTGGGCCATTCCATTAAATATATGCACCCCCCCTCCTATTGAGGACTTTGAATTCTTACCTCAGAAAATTCAACTTTTTACCCCACCCCCCCTCCACCCCTGCCAAGAAAAGAAGGTTAAAGTGCCAACAGTTCCCCCTTCAGTATTTCTAAAAGATCAAATTCACTGCCACGGTAGCCCTCTCAGAAACAGCCTTTAAAGACTCCCCCCAACCCCTCAGATTTCCGAGACCCTCAATAGCGGGAAGGGGGGGTGGGGGCAGGTGCAGATAAAAGATGGAATGGCCCATTGTATTGTGTGCCCAATATGAGTCAATACAACATAAACCCCTGACCTGTTGCTCTTACAAACCGAGAGGCATCTGATCAATCTTTTTGGTACAGAGCTATTTGGTTTCAAGGCTGTTTTTATTAATAACACACAAAGCAGCAATTAACACCTGTAGCTGTTTTTTAGATTAGGGCTGGACTGTATTATGTATTTTGCAAGTATGGTATTGAGTGAAGAGAGGTCATCTAATGATTGTTCACTCACAGCAGTTTCAGGGCCACTGTTGCAATGTTGTTGTTTATCAATGGGTTTCTTTTTTTCAGGGCCGGCAGTTCGTCTGTTAAGCTCAAAGCAACAGCAGTCAATGAAAGTGGATAAATCATTGCTTTCAAAACTGCGAAAGGAAACTGGATTTGGTTTTGCCAAGTGCATGGAGAGCCTGCAGCTCTGCAATAATGATTACAATGAAGCTATCACATGGTTGAAAGCAGAGGCAGAGAAGCAAGGCTGGGAGAAGGCGATCAAATTGCAAGGAAGGGCTGCAGCAGAAGGACTCATTGGAGTTATGGTGGATGGTAACTTTGGTGCTATGGTTGAGGTTAGTTATGTAAAATTCAGTGATCAAATCTGGGCAAGTTCCATCATAGATAATATAGGGAATGGTTATGAAACCTGGCAAAGTTCTTTGTTGTATGTTTTTGTTGGCTATTTTGGGGTTGACCCTGCACAAAATCTGGCAAAATACAAAAGGTGGTTATGTCTGCTCATACAACTAACCAATAGAAGCATTGCAATTATGTAATTCATGCATAATTAATGAGCATAAACGAAAAGATGTGCTGTTTGCTTCTTTGATGTTAAGTTTACTGGTCTTCCTAACCATTTCCCTCTATTAACCACGGTTCCATGTACTGTTGTTTGTAAGCACCAGCTAGTCGCACTTTAAGATATAAGCCCATCTATTTGCTAACAAAGACATAATTCCAGATATAAGCCCCCCAAGATATAAGCCCATCTAATGTATAAGTGCGTTCCTTTTGTATATTTTTGCAAACATCAAAATTTTTAATCAAAAGTGATAGGCTAATAGGGTAGTAAGTTAATAGTGCCAAATGTAATGGTATGTTAGCTTTAATTCATTTCTTAGATACATTTTATATATGTCATCATTCCGAAACATTTTTTTACTCTGCTTATAAGTGCCCCCCATCCCGGATATAAGTCCACCCAAAACTCCTTGAAAGTATATACGCCCAGGGCTTTAAAGTGGATTTTACAGTATTGTAAATTTGTCATTGCAGGTCAACTGTGAAACAGACTTTGTAGCCAGGAATGAGCTCTTTGTAGACTTAGTGTCAAAAGTAGCAAATGCAGCAATGGTGAAGAGGAAGAAGATTGTCGATCAAAACCAAAAGATCAATGCACTGGCTGGCGAGCTTGAGCATCTAAGAGAGGTTATACCGGAACATAAACTGAGGAATGAGCTTATACACAGTGGTGAAGGAGAGACTGTGGCAGAAACTGTAGCCAGGACAATTGGTAAATTAGGAGAAAACATCAAAATAAACAAAGTGGTTACCATGACAACTGAAGTACGCAATGTCATTGGTAGCTATGTTCATGGCCCTTTTGTGACGTCATTGCATGGTTGTTCTCTGGGGAGGTACGGGGGAATGGTTGCCTTAAAGCCAAAGAAAGGTGATGCTAATCTGGAGTCCATAGTGCACTTGGCCAATAGAATGGCTCAACATGTTGTGGGGATGAATCCAAGGGTTATATCAGAAAATGTCAGCCAAAATGATGCAGCTAAGGATGGAGAAGTAAATGAAGTGTTACTCGAGCAGGAATATTTACTAGATGACAGTGTGATAGTAGGAGACTTGTTAAACAGAGAGGGAGTTGAAGTTATTGATTTTGTTCGATATGAATGTGGTACAGTGTCTCATGCTCACGTTTAGCTGTCAGCTTGCTAAGCTGTACAACACTTCCTTATTGTCACAGGAAGTCCTCACCGTGACAAATAAATATTTGACTTTTTGTTACCAATGATATGCATTGCCAAAAAAGGAAAAAATAAACATATAAAAATTGCAATAACCATCTGCCTCAATGGAGCTTTTGTATTGTAGGATTAAGCACATGTTCTGATGTTTTGAGTGTTGGTGCTATTTCTTCTGAGCCCGATTGAGTCAGGCAAATTACTAACGCTCAAAATGTCAGCTGCTAAACTCCACAAGATAGTCTTTATACTGAAATATCATCAATTGAATGAAAAAAGTGACTTAATGAAAATAGTATTCAAATTCATTCGAATGGCAATTTTTATATATTTGTTGACAGTAAGTCCTATTTGAAGTACTGTAATCTGCACCATTCTCAGTTTTAATTCAGTACTTCTTTCTCAAGATACTCGTTCTATTTTGCTCGTGTAGATTTTTTTATCTAGTTTATTTGTAGATTTGGTGACATTTGGCACCGTACACTGGAAAGTAGGAGTGAGAACTTTCGTTAATTATCCTGGATACTTCCCCTTTGACATGTGTTTTGCTGCTCTCTGTGTTCAGTCCATTGAAAGCGGTTGAACTGTGAACTCAGGAAACGTTTCTGAAATGTTGCGTTTGTTCTGGAGCCAAGATTAAGCCACAAGGTTAAATAGCAAGTCAGAGGTGTTACGTAAGTGCTACGGAAATGAAATTTTCAGATCTGAAATTAATCATATTTTTCATGCGCTCTCACAGGAAACACATGGGGTTGCGTTGTTTTGGCTGTTTTTGATTACTTACCGTGCGCGTGTGACTTACTGTTTCTCTTGACTTCTTTGACTGGTTGGAACAAGGCATTTCTATCGTTTTTGATTTAATGTATCTTGCTGTTAAAATATGGTCAATACAGTTTGTACCTACCGGGTACTAATTATTTTGGGATACGATGGTAAAAATTACTAGACAATAACTTGTCTGATTTTCTCATCAGGCGGGATCAGGGCCTTGAATACAAAATAAGAACAATCAAGCATTTTGTTCTTCCTTTCAACGATTTATGTTGCCATGGTAACAGTTGTACAATCCTGGCGTGGCGTGTCTCCCTAAGAAAAAATGAAGCCAGACTTGTTTCTGGTTCTGCTTATTATACATTTATTGACAATTTTACGATTAGCTTTACATCAATTTGGAGGTCTCAATTATTTTCCCTTGCAATCCTGTTGGGCCAAATCACGCATGCGCTGTACCACGTTTAGCGCGGGATCGTCATCTGTAGTAAAGAAGTCTTTACTCGGATTTCTTACAAGTGACTTGAGTTCTTCTTTGAAAATTTTCGGTCCGCTTCCGATGGCAATCACGTGTGCGCCGCTTATCCAAGGATCCTGTGGTTTAAAGTGAGATGAGAATAAAGGAAAATTACAGGTTTAAAATGAGACGAAAGAAAAGCAAGACTGGGGTGAAAATAATCACCAGCCTTGGGGTCCAAAAACTCCTGTTTTCGTAGCATGAACTTAAAAACGCAACCTCGTTCCCAGGCTTTTCCCATCTAAATTTCAGTGGAAAAGCGCTGGGAACGAGGTTGTAAAAGCCGCGAACTATTATGTCGAGAACAGGAGGCAATGTAGCTTCTTTGATACCTAAAACAACATGGCGGGAACTACATACAAAGATCGCAAGGCACGATGGTTCACGCAGTGCCTACGTCACCGGAAGTACAGATTGAAGTACATATCATCACAGGTTGCAAAAGACTCGTAGTATTACTATCTCCACTGGATGAGTTGGTAGTGTATTGCAGGTTATACTCCAGCATGTAGTCACCTGGAGAAAGTCACTGTATAAGCATAACCTAAGGACCTCCCCACCCTCTCTTGGAGACACCATGACCCCAACCGATTCAACGTAAATCGTAAGTCAGCAAGAAAGAGCAAACTGATTAACAGCACTAAATATGAAACCCCCGACAAGGTTGTGTGTCCATCTATAATTGTTAACTTGAAATTCTAATTTAGTCGTCATTCGACTGTTCAGTTTGGTTCCCATTGAAAATTCGTCTTTTTCTCTTCATAGTCATAAGTAGAAGCATGGAGCCAAATCTATATTCGTGAAAGAATAGTGGGAATAGAAAAAACTTGTGTTGAAACGTATTGAAAATCAGAGCATTTACGTTTAACGCCGACGCCCCTTAACTCAGGAGTGCACAACTCCTTCCTTAACATGATGAAGTGCATTGCCATCGTCAGTGAACAAAATGCGCGCCAGTTCTATCAAGAAACGAGTTTTGGTTAATCTGTCCATAATGAAGACCACTCGCCATGGCGCTGTCGTACATAACAAGTAGCGGTCGCCATTTTGGCGTGAAATACGTTAACAGTACTCTTATTGGGCGGCGTGAATCAGCAACTTCAAGCAACTGGTCACCTTTGCAAGAATAAACTTACTGAGTGGTAGCTTATAAAGTCTCCGTCTGAAAAAACAACCAAGAACTTCGGTACTTTTAATCTCGCGCCACTCTCCTGTCGAAACAGCTCATCTGTGGCCAGCTCTAAACCCTTATCGATTCCTAAAACGGGGGAAATAGTAAAACAAACCCTCTGAGAAAGGTATTTAGAGGGATTCACTTCTGGGACGGATATAGGGGGGAGGGGGGCTCGGGGATTCAGGGGGATCGGTCGAACCCCCTAAATTAAAAAAAACAAAAGGCATATTAACACGCTGACTTGGCCTCAGAATGCCGGCGGAAATCTCATTTCCGAAGAACTCAATTTTAAAACGTTTCCGCGTCACATATTTTAAGCCACTTTTATCAATTTTTTTTCATTAATTCACGCATCACGCTCGCGCGTCACACATTAATTTTTGTCCTCATCACGTGTCACGAATAAATAAATAAATAAATAAATAAATAAATAAATGAATGAATGAATGAATGAATGAATAAATAAATAAATAAACCCTTTGCCACCCTCTAGTCTCGTAGCCTGATATTCCCTCCCGAAGAGTGACAAGATTTGGGTACGAGGTTAACAATATTTTGCCAGGAGATCTTTACCCGTGGCTCCTTCATTGTACACGAGTGCGTCTATAACAGACGCCATTTCATTGGAGGAAAAGTAGTCTGTGAAGTTAAAGACCACAAATGGCTCCATGCTGAACTGTACAACGCACACATGGGTTGAAGAAGGTCCCACGTCCATGCTATTTATCATGTCAATAGCAAAGTTTTTTATCGACTGGAAGCCAGCCACCTTCATGCTAGCTGAACTGTCAAAGACCATTACCACATCCTGTGACGTCACGCATGAGCCTGAAACGAGACATGTATGATAAGTTCACCGTGACGAAATATTCTTTGAATAAGTTCACCCAAAGGTATGTTCTGGCGAAATAAAAGAAAAATCGATTTTTTTTAATTTATCCCTCTGTTGAAGCAAAATGCACTCTGGGAGTTAGTAAATGAGACAAGGTTCAGGGGAGTCCTTTTAATTCTAGCTTTTAAAAGAAGATTTAGGGGTGGATTTTGGTTTATACAGTATTGAATAAGTCTGCATTCATGGGCAGACTCATAATAAGAACATATCCTCCATACATACAAGTTTAGATAGACAAGTAAGTTGCCCAGGCGGTAGGTGAAGGCTTTGTGGCTTTCCTTTGCTGTTTGTAGGTTCAGTGGAGTGCTTTTAATCGATATGACAAGTACACAGTTAAAACAACAAATTAACTTCCGGTGAGGTAATTACTGTTGCCAAATATTTTTAAGGATAATAAGGTGTCGATTTCAGAGAGAGTAACTTTTCCTTTGCAGCTTTTCTTTGCTGTTTGTAGGATCAGCAGAGTGCTTTTAATTTCAGATTTTAAACAAAGATTTGGGGGGTGATTTTGGTTTATACAGTGTTGGATAAATTTGCGTTCACTGGCAAACTCATAATAAGGACATATCGTCCATACATACAAATTTAGATTGACAAGCAAGTCGCACACGTGATAGCTGAAGGGTCCACATAAAATTTACGGATTGGTAGCACAGTTGTACTTTTGCCAGTCTTAAAGTGAATTGAATGAGCATTGTTTGAATTGAATGCGCACTGTGAGAGCACTGTATGAGCATTGTATGAGCACTGAAATATACGGTTTACAGTAGTGATAATGAGGTCAGGGTATGATTCATTTGCATTTTCAGTTTCTTATGAAGTTTTGGAAATGTGCTGTTTTATATTTTCTCGCAACGAAAGAGTGGTTGTGATTAAACAATCAATAATCGTTTTGTCAGGGTAAAGACAATATGAATGTTAATTGACGACAAGTATAATTTACGGTTAAAACAACAAATTAATTTTCGGTGAGGTAATTAGCATTGCCAAATATCTTTAAAGACAATAAGGTGTCGATTTCAGAGAGAGAAACTTGTGCTTTGCGGCTTTCCTTTGCTGTTTGTAGGATCAGCGGAGTGTTTTTAATTTCAGCTTTTAAAGGAAGATTTGGGGCTGGATTTTGGTTTATACAGTGTTGGATAAATTTGCGCTCACGGGCAAACTCATAATAACATATCTTGGATACATACAATTTTAGATAGACAAGCGGGTCGCACACGCAATATGACAAGTATATGGTTAAAACAACAAATTATTTTCTGGTGAGGTAATCAGCTTTGCCAAATATCTTTAAAGATAATAAGGTGCTGATTTCAGAAAGAGAAACTTTTCCTTTACTGTT